TCATTTTATATGATAGCAAACACTGCCCCTTAATCAATTAATTAATTATTGTGATATTCTTAATCTAGAAAGGTTCATTTTATAATTGTTAATGAATTCAATTAGTTTATTACATGAATGCATGATTAGAGTATTATCGCAGAATTCAGTAAACGATGTCATAATTATACAAATTTACTTTAAAAACGAAAAACATTGCTTATAACACAATACATAGGGTATACAGTTTGACTTTTGTATACAGAAAAATGTAGGTTTTTAGCTGTAAGTGCATTCATTTTCTATATAGATAAGGCAGTGTTTTGCTAACTGGTCTTCAATAGTGCAATTCAATATTTCTACAAATTTTGAACGCATAGAAGATTGTAAAGGTATCCAGAGGATATAAAGAAGTTAAAAATTAAATAATAATCAGTTAATTATACATATTATGTATATTTCTTTTACTTATGTGTAGCTTAAATAAAAAAGTGACAACTCACAGACGTATCCAGATTATTAGAGATTGTTTATAACAGCACCAAGTCTCGTGTAAATAACAGGCCCGATGTCTTGAAACATTTGTAAAACAATTAAATACTGGAATTATAATCATTTACATAAAATAAACTCATAGTTATTTATCATTGTGCCAGGTAATGCTGCGCCGAGAGTATTACGTTATCCTGGGCTTTAATCAAGTATAGGGACATTTGGGTTTTTCCTCATCTCATATCCCAGCTGGGCGTGACTTGTAAAGTACAGTGATGTTAAACCGAAAACCAGCCAATCGAGGCAAAGCCCAGAAATTAGCAGAAATCAATTTAATCAAGTGATATATTCTTATAACAGATGCTTTACATTTAGTTTCAGTTAAAACACTTTAAAATGTATCACCTTAAGTTAATATTTTCTTTAATAATCTGAGTTTTATCAATCTGAATCAAAGACTTATTAAGCAATAACACAAGTGTAGCACAGATATTTACTAATCTTGCAAAGCTTCCATAATTATTTACTTGGTTTAGTTTGTACAAGCTTTTTCAAGTTCGATTCTTTAGGGAGGTATAAAATAGTGAAAAACAGAATCCCTAAAGAAAGTCCAACAAGACAAAATTGAAAATGTTGCAGGCTCGGTTTGATTGAGCCTGTTCATGGACGGTACTGGAAAGTGCAAGTTACCGTCCACGCCCATAAGCTTATTGATACTCACTCAAATCAGTCCCTGGAACCAATTAGTACTAAGCAAAAAGACTAAAGAATTTTGCTTAATAAAACAGCAGTGTTCCTTTGGCGGAGTAAGAACAAATGCGACAAGCAGTGCGTAGATTACTAGTCCGACGCGTTAACAACTCGGGCATTCAATCACTCTTATATTATGACATTATTCCTCACAAGATATAATGAGTTTTTCTATAGAGGTAATCTAAGTTATGCTGTGTTCTATACCTATTCTAGTTTTTTTTGAAACTCGAAAATAGGTGCATTATTAATATAAGTGCACATGGATAACAGGCGTATATTTTCCTTACCGGAAATTCATCAAAAATATTTATCCATACTAGAAAAAACTACTCAAATCAGATTTGATATCGAGCGATATTCTTATTCAAAGTTCGCTATGATGTGCTTAATAACATAACATTAACCGATTCATGCAAATTTTAACAATCATACAAACCTTAAAGAAATATAAAATTATACTATAATGAAATATTGACATATCATTTTAGCATTTACACAGAACTGACCGTTTCCAAGTAACGATTGGATACGGCCATGCCGATAAGGGTTTTTTAACTTCTTATTTATTTAAGGAATCCGATTGCAGTACATGCGTTAGTTTAGAATATGAAAATATTGTTTCATATTACTTCATATTTTATCCTCTAACTATAAAACTGAATGTATGTAATGTAAACCAAAATCCTACTATATTGGGCTGGCAAATACGTAGAATAGTATTTAATAGCATAAATGCAATGTGCTTATTTAAAACAGGACAAATAAATGAGAGTTTTTAATGCTCATTATTTAGATTAATAAAGGAATAGATTGTCGTATAACCTACACAGTAAAAGTTCAAGGTAAAACATGCTAAGCTATACTTTTTATTTTTTTGATAATCATACAATTTATTACTTAAAGTATTTTCAGACTTCAAAAATACGTTATACTTGACCCTGCGGTCGACACAATTAATAAATGAACAAATACATACACAAGTAAAAGTATATAATGGTTAATTTTTTAAGTTGTTGCAATATATTTTTTCTTTTCATGGCTGTTAACTCTAAAACAAAGAGACAATGAATATTTTAAGTCATTTTATGGGTAATATTTTAGATGTTGACGATTAGTGTTTTTTTTTCTCTTAAAATCACGCGTTAACTAGAACACTTTATTTTGCAATATATCAGCGAGGCCCGTATGTGATAAATATTTGAATAATTAAACATACACACCACTATTAACTGGACGAAATAATTTATGCTTTGTTTTTAGAAAACAAGTCCATCACAATAAAGCTTATGTGATTTAATCATGATTCACATATTTTACGTATGATCACAGATTCTAATTAGTTTCAAAAGTATAAGTTTTTCAGAGGTGTAATTCTTACTGCATAAAATTGTAATGTTAACAGTGCCTTAATTTTTTATTAACGTCAAAGTGCACCGTGATAAAACATTACATGTGTCGTTTATGTTGTATATAAATAGTATTGGTACTTTTCCATATTACTTAAAGTGGCATTATACCAATTTAAGTGTAAATGGTAGGGTAAAAATGAAAATATTTCGACATTTTGTCATAATTCTTCATTATTGAATTTTACTGTCATGAAAAAATATATAAATAACCAACAAAAGTATCTATAAATAATATTGTCTTGAAAGTATCGGGTAAGCTGAATTCTTTAGAAAAGGTTGGCCAGTCAATTTATTATTATTAATCCCCTTCCGCGTAGGAATTAAAGGAATGGCATCCGTCTGAAAGTACGTCTGTCCGTCCGTCCGTGACACTTTCGTGTCCGCTCCATAACTTTTAAACCACTGAACATTTTTCAAAATAACTTGGTACAAGTAGTCACCATAATGAGACAATGTGCAGAGCGCAATAATTGGGTTGCTATCCCCAAGGTCAAGGTAACACTTAAAGGTCAAATGTTAAAAGTTTTCATTTCATAATAAAAAAGTCTACATATCGTGTCCGCTTTAAAACTTTTAAACCACTGAAATGTTTTTTTTAAAATAACTTGGCACAAGTGATCACCATAATGAGACAATGTACAAGTTCAAGGTTACAATTTAAGGTCAAATGTTAAAAAATCTACATTTCGTGTCCGCTCGGTAAGTTTTTACCTGCTTAGTTTTTTCTAAAAATAACTTGGCAAAATTGATCACCATTATGAGAACATGTGCAGGTCGCAATTATTGCGTTGCTTCCCACAACGTCAAGGTCACACTTAAGGACAAGTATTAAAAGTGTACATTTTGTGTCTGCTCCATAACTCTTAAACCACAAAATCACCATATTTTCATATCACCTTTATGTGACTATATGCAGAGCACACTTATTGAATTGCGACCCCAGGTCAATTTCTCACTTGTAGTTCAAATGTTTCGTGTCTGTCCAAAACATTTAAAGTGTTGCAATGTTTTTAAGATAACTCGACATAAATGATCATCATTATGACACCATTGGCAGAGCACAACATTCAATTCACAACCCTGAAGGTCAGGGTCACACTCTAAGGCTCAATATAAAACAATTATTTTTCATATCCGCTCTATAACTTATATGAAAAGTCAAAGGTTTTAAAATTACTAAGCACAAATGATCCCTACAATGACAAAATAAGCCTAGCTCAATATCCAGGTTCCTACCATCAAGGTAAAGGTTATGTTCTCCAAAACATTTTGAATTTGTTGAAGATTTTTATATATTTTGGCACAAATAATCACCATCGTGAGACTATGTGCTTATGATATGCATGTCATGGTTGGCAAATTCATGTTCACTGCGAAAGGGAATTTAGCTGCCCTTCAGACTGCTTTGTTTATATAATTATTATATTGTATCATACATATTTTAGATCAATTATTGATATATCACCATTATTATAGCCAATGTTTTGACATAAAGGTTTGAAACAACAAATGAGCGTAATAACACATTAATATTCTACTTGCAGTAGTTAATATTTTTAAAATCGCATTGATGGTGAAAAGAATATGATTTTGATTTTGAAATAACTTTACAAAGCAAAACGAATATTTTACAAAATGATGGACTGTATTATTAACTGTTAGATAATTTTCTATTCTATCTATCATTTTCATTCGTCTCTCTTGATCTTTAAAAAGAACGAAAACAAAGACAATGAAACCAGTTGCTTTTGTTTTTGCGCATATTTCAGATATTGACGATGAGTATGTTTTAGGGTAATGATATTTTGTAACCAAGACCAGTTTATTAAGCAGAAAAAAAAATGATTGAGACCCGTAAATGCTAAAATGAAAGTTATTGAAAGTCTCAGATTGAGAAGGGTATACTGATTTTTTCTGTAATTATCAGTCATCAACGAAAACACAAATTACATTATTCATTTTTCATTACAAAGATTATAAGGAATTATACCAATATTAATATCTAAAGACATCAAACGTATCATTGTATTTAAACACCTAAAGACTACGGTTTTTCAATTATGATGAGAAGACACTTATATACAAATGAATGAGTAAAAAAACACTTATTCGATAGCTCTAGTTTTAAATCGTGATGTGATTTTAAAGGAACATGCATGAAACATTCACATGGTTCAGATAATAAAACTCTCCTTCAATCAAAGAAATATACTCAAGTAATTTGTTTCGTTTCTAAAAATATTAAACAAAAATGTTAAACGTCTATCAAGTTAAAATATTGAATATTTGGCATTCATCCTTTAATTTACACAACTAACACCATGATAACAAATATTTGCCTCTCGCCTTTTATTAAAGTATCTGTATATAACCTCAGTACACAACAAAAACACACAATAACCATTTAGAATTTCGTGTGTTCATGTGTGTCGAAGTTAAAGTTTTGTAACGGAAAGAAATGAATATTCTCACATTTGTTCTATCCATTGGGATTTTTTCTTTCGCTAGGACTGATGATGCAACATGCTACGATAAATTTGAATATGTTTTTAAGGTCATGCATAGATTGTCCGAAGTAGAAAAGAAAATTGAACATGTTCAGGAAACTAAGCTGGATAAAGAAGACACTGGATCTCTAAATAGCCAAGGTGATTTTACTGAATTTATTTGACCAGATTGTAATGTTTTTTAACAACTTATATTCTAATAAATCATTTGTGAGTTAAGAGGTATCTTTTAAAAATCGTATTGATAAAAAGTTATTTCGTATTATATGGAACTTTATGCATACATGTAAGAGTTTATCATAAACTAAGAAATTTGCTTTAATATTTTAAACATGAACAGTCTCCAGTTCAAAATTTGAGTCGGCCTGGGATAGTTTTATATAAAATGTTTTTTTTAACTGTTACAAATTGTTGAAGAATTAATTGAAACAAAGAGAAAACTCTTACATTTCAGGAGACACGTTTACAAGATGGGGAAGGTCTTCTTGTCCAAATGAAACAAAATTGATTTACGACGGTTTTGCTGGAGGCTCTGATCATAACGCAAAAGGTGGCGCTGCAAACTATGTTTGCCTGCATAAACAGCCAACATGGAAGGACAATAATGTGTATAAATCACAAAATAATCTAATGCATGGGGCCGAGTTTCAGACCAGTGGCACAAACTGGCAGAAGTTTCATGACCATGATATCCCATGTGTTGTATGCAACGTACCTAGCAGCAATATTGTCATGATCCCTGGCCGAAATGTTTGTCATGAGAAACATTCATTTCAGTACAGCGGATATCTTATGTCGTGTCACGATTCACATCCATCAGCAACGGAATTTGTCTGTGTTGATGATGAGCCGGAAGTTTTCCCTGATTCAAGTGCAAACCATAATGGCAAACTATTTTATTTCGTGTATGCAAAGTGCGGATCATTGAAATGTCCACCGTATGAAGAGGGAAAGAAAATTACATGCGTTGTTTGCTCATTTTGAGAAAACGTTTTTAAAGTGTAATCGTTCATATTCAAATGATCAGTGACGGGATTGTATTGATATGTGTTTTTCTGAATAGTTCAAATAGTTTGAACATAATTTTTTTAATGATATAACATTATTATTATATTAAAAATTGATATTCATCAGAAAATTGGATAAGTTCGTGTATAGTTTATATACAGTGTTTAACAATCGGTATATCAATTAAAAAGCAGATACATTTTACAAACTCTATCATTATTTCGAAGATTTATGTATAAGAACAAGATAAGTCTTGTAAAAACACAGATATTTATTTTGGTTATGTATTTAAAAAATATCAATCATTATTTGAACTGTTGATATAATGTACAAGTATTTACCCTATAATACATAAAAGCTTTGTTTATATATATTTAATACTCTTGAGATGCTCATGAAACATTTTATGTTTATCTTTGTAACACGTACCTTTGAAATAATTATGTTGAAATTAACGTATTAAAATATTATGCCACTGTTATTAATGTAAAAAACATTTATGTACAGCCAACCAATCTGAAACTTGCGACTATTTTGTCTATATACCTAAGTTATTTTATGCTTGTATTTAAAGCATGTTATCAGCATGGAAATTATGTTTAATTATTACAGAAACTACTAGACATGTAGACATGATCACAATGTTTTACCTGGGTGTTTACTTTTCAGATATTTCTAATATTTTGAGTCTTCACATTTGACATTGATTCACCACAATGCGGCTGCATAGTTTTTGTCACAACATTTCAGTACCTTAAATATTCTAAATAGAAACATAATATTGTTTTTTAAAAATATTCTTAAAATTATTTACAGTTCAGATTTCATCTATTCCACTTGAATATTGGCTTCAGCAAGTTTTATCATTTTATATAATAATATTTCCTATATTGATTGTAATTGTATATCAGTTTTGTGCTTGGCATGTTGCAATTATGATTACATTATATTTAAAAAATCACCAAAATTTACATATGTTTGCATTACTCTTTCATTTAAGCTCTTATATATTTTCAATGTACAATAGTCGTGATTATATGACATACGTAATTCATAGGCTTTAACAGGAAGTAGAAAATACAGTTTTAATTGATATAAATTTTATAAACTTTTAATTGTAATTTGTTAATGACTCGATAGCCGATATTTATAGAATACTCGAAACAGTTTTTGAAACATGAAATTTTAAATTTGTACAGGATTATGAAAAACAAATTCACAAAATGTACATTTGTTTCCCGCGTTTTGTACTTACGTAAAACATAATATACTTTTTCTAATCAGATTTGTTTCGTAAATAAAATAACAGTACTGAATATCTCTTCTATTTATATTTCTACATCCAAATATGCAAAAATTAATTTGTTGTCGTACTATATTCACGTGTATATATACCAGTGCCTTCAAGGACGTTATAGCATAATCTAAAACAATGTATTCAACGAATTCCAAACGTTTGAACCGAGTGATCATTCAATATGTTTGATTATCACGTACTGACACAATCCTATCACGTAATAATAATAATAATAATAATAATAATAATAATAATTATAATAAAACTATCTCAACTTGTTTTTAACACAGGAACCTTGACAACACTAACATTTTTTCCTTATCACACACATCGATTTGAAAGTCAAAAAATCCCTGGTAATCATTATTTTGCATTCAATGTATTGTGCTATTCAAAGTGCTGTATGTACTATATTATGTTTATCATTTTGTAGTACGTCATACATTGCAGATACCTTTGTTACTTGTTGTGTTGTTTACATGGGTTACTATACCGGTGGATCTTTTTTTTCTCTCAAAATTTCCAGTTCATTTGTATTTGATACACGGCAGAAATGTGATATATTGTCGAATATTAATTATATCTCAATATATGATTTTTACTGTATTTTTCTGATGACGTCAGTGTGGCATTAAACTGATAATTGACAACACCAGCTATTGATTTTTCACAGAGTTAGCATTGTGTTGCGTTTTAACACTCAATCTGAATAAAAAAAACAATAAAGGTTAGGTACAAATCAAGTTCCGTTAAGTTTGAATGATGAATTTACAAGTCCTAAACACACTGTTATTTGTTGTTTTGTTGTTGTTTTTTTGGTTGGAAGGGGTCTTCACATAGTACTATTTCGCCGCGACTAGAAATGTCAAATAGGTGGGGTGATGCCGACGTGGCACTCGATAAGCGTCGTTGACGCTTTTTTGTTTGCTGTACAAAATCTTTGCTGTACGAAATTGTAATACCCTAAAATTAAAGGCTATCTTGTTTGCGATAAAAAAACCTATTATGATTTAAACAATGTTTTGTAAGTGCGAGGAGATTTTTGATTAAAAATAAATAAAGTTTCCTTTTAAAAGGAAAGGCTTGCTCACTTTCGCCATCATCCCTTCCCTTTAAAATTGTTGTTTTTTTGTTTCAATTTATTATCACAATTTTTTTGAATTACGGTATTTGTATATCATAAATGGTTTATTTAGTTTTTTTTTCTCGAAAAAAAAAGTTTCACTTTTAAAGGGATAGGTAGGGTAAGCCCAAGACTGGACGAGCACCTGTGCCCATTTGTTTGTTTGAGCACCATTGTTATGCGTGCAAATTTGGACCAAATAGGGACCAGAAGTCCACTGATTATAATTGAACGGGAACATGCTGACGATAACAGTAGCCACTTGTTTTTGTAAAAACGAATATTTTTTCAAAAACGATTCGAAATCTATTCTCTATTGTATAAAACTAATTAAGAAAATAATCAATCGTAAAAATACTAACATTGGCTCTCATGTGGAGATCAGTCTATCATACTGAAGGGAAACAAGTGTGCACATTGCATTTCCACTTTTTTCGCAGAGTGAGTCATTCGTTTTGGCAGTTGCTAATTTCATCTATATAGCAGCTTTAGAGACAAGTAAATGCACTAAAAGACTTCGTTACGTGGTACCAATTAATAAGCATGTACACCTAAAATATCTATAATCACGGAAATACCGACAACACAGGAGATCAGCACGTGGTAAGGTTAATGATATGCATGGGCTATTTTTAGATTACCTCACCTCTGTCAGTATATCTAAATATAACTTGATCATGCACTAATATTCGGCGTGTTTCGGTCACGATGACCGCCCTTTGGAGACGGAATACTACTACAGTAACCATTCTCTATTGTATAAAACTAATAAAGACAAAAACCAATTATAAAAGAAATTAACTTTTGCTTCTTGAAAAAGAATTGTAACGGAATCAAGTAAAAATAGAAATCCTATTTATATAAACAAACTGGGATTACCGAAGTAACTAAAATAGCTTAGATTTCCGTAATATTACTTCGTCCGATTTCACAGTATGACGGAATCGCCCGAATTGTCACGATTGCAATCGGAACTACCTCGGCTATTATAATTAATCCGAAGAGTGACGGAAAGGGCCGAAAAGTTGCGATTGGCACGATTGCAGCTGGTTTCCCGTTCAATCATGCACTAACAAATGTAAGCAGGAAACCACCTAACCGGAACAACTTTTCCAAAACAAATGGCTTGCAGCCGTGGCTGCAAGCTAATAAATCTTATTGTAAAAGTGCAGATATTCTGTATACGATCATTATTTGTAAAGCCGTTTACATGTTCTTTTGTTATCAATGTTAAAAAAAGATAATTTGCTTAGCTTTATGATACTTTTATTTTACAGAAATCTTTTATAAACAAAAGTATTTATGAACAAATATCTTTCAAAGTATTCTAAATATTTGTTATTTTGAAGTTAAATCTTGTCTTTAGGTGAATAGCTTTGTTCATGTTTTTCTAACAATGAATAAGATAAAAAATTTCGTTCTCTTTTGTTAGTTGGTATCTTTTTATGTTAAGTTTACAATGTGTCATTTTAAGCTTCTCTCCAAGGCCTTTTATTCAGTAGATAGAATCAGTTTGTTGCTATTGTGGCTGTATGTTGTGAATAAAAAAGACGAATGTATCCAAGCAAAATTTGAAAAAGGAAGTTTTTAACGTGAAGTTAAAGGTGGATCACCTTATTTTTGCAGCATAATTTTTACATTAAATCAAAAAAGTGTACCATATTTGAAATTCAGAACTGAATGTTTTATTCAACATGTTTGATAATTCTAGTTAAGCTTGACGTATTTTAAAATATTATTTTAGTTTAATTATTGCGTTTTAAGTTATGATATAATGATCAAACACACAATAAAATTAAAGTAAAAATAAAAGTTTATATATATCTTCACTTTCATTATGTCAGAATAAACCATTTGTTTCCATTTAGCCGGAAATATGTTACAACAAGCTTAAGGGTCCTCCTGGGCTCCTTGCCGCTGGCGCTTGTTGCTGGGTCGGGTGGGGGCTGCGTTCATTGAATGCCGCCTTTCCTTGTCGATCTTGTTTATCATATTTAATACAAATGCACGTAGTGTAAGTGTGATAATTCACCTTTTTCAACTTTTATTTGTCACGATAAACGAGTGCCCTATAGTACATTTTAAATTGTTGATATCATCATATTAAATTAATTCTAAAATGTATCATAATTTAACCAAATCGCACATTGCAATGGTTAGCAAATATTTCACGTACATATTAAAATAGTGGGCTACCTTAGTTTTGAAATCATAGTAGAAGTGATAAAACATTCTTTACAGATTCGTTATTCAAAATGAGGATTAATAAGGGAAAAACCCTTTTGGAATTATTCAACTTGCCTTACACGTTTACCTTAATGAAACAAATAACCCAAGTTCCGTGATGATTATTTTCAAAGTTATAGCGAATTGATGCCTCCCAAAAGTCAAATATGACAAAAAGAAAAAAAAAGAAAAAAAAACTTCAAAGGACTACAATTCTAAAATATTTATTCAAGAATAATTTCCATTGCCCTGCAACTTACCATTGTCACGATAAGCAAATAGTAATCTTTTCCTATTGGTGACTTCTTAAAATGTATAAATCATGGGCTACATTAACGGTTGTGCACGGTGACGACGACAACTACGCAGCCAGCAACCATAATACTTCGACTTTTAAAATAAACAGTCAAACTTAATATGACCAAATACTATGACTGTGAAGGGTAATATATTTTTGAAATGAAACCTTTTGCCATATGTGATTGGTGTTTATTGGACTTATTGGATGGATATCTCACCCGGCAGGTGTCAAGTGTTTAATACTAGCTGCCACAAATTTCCCTAGGTAGTGTGGTGTCCTGGCATTATCTGATCATTTTCTATTTCATAAAGTTAACTGCTAAGGCTTGAACACACCTGAACCAATGATTGAGATTTTACGGGATCAACAATGATTTCTAAGTTTGGATGACTCTGCTCTTTCACATATTACTTTAATTGGTTCGTTTTAAGTATGCGCTTCAGGTCATAGTAGTTTATCACTAAATTGATCAATTATAAACTCACTGTATAGCTCATCTATTTTTTTCACATTGGATGCACTATAATATATATACAATGGCCGTCGAATATAATGGCGCAAAGATAGAGTCCAACATAAGTATGTAAAATGGGATAATGCATTCCAAATACGCCGATTGCGGGTAACCACCTTTAAATGTGTATGGTATAAAAAAACACTTTAAACACCATGTTTTCAAGCCTTAGATAGATCATCAATACATCATGACGAAGGCAAAATTGTTTTCATTTGTCATTTTATTAACGTCTGCAATTTCTGTCTCGTTTTCGGAATATGCATCGACTTGCAAAAATTTTGATTGTGAATATAAATTGTTATCAAAATTGATACAGCTGGAAGAAAGAACTGCTCAACAGGAGAACAAAATAGCTCTACTTACAGCCAAGCTTGAAGGTAAAATGTTCTTTTTCCTCTTCCTTAATGCTTTAAATGAAACATATATTAACAGAATTTTCGTTTTTCTTACTAGATTATACTTAGTCTATTAATTTAAAACTTTTTGTTAATGTTTTTTCTCTCACTATTTTGGCTATATAAATGTTGCTTTTGATATATTCATATGACCTTTTTAAAGCTGCATGCCTCCAGATGACCCAAACTATTTCAAGAACATTAAACTTGGAAAAACCATACTAAAACTTCACAAAAAGTAAACAAATTAAAGATTCAAGTGATAATTTATATCTTATGTGCAATTAATGACTGTATTTTGCAGTATTTATCACCATATTTCTACTGCTTTACTAACGCAGTAGGGGCAATTTATGCATAATACAACCTCTTTTTGGTAATTTACGTGGATTTTAAGTGCCGATTGTAATTGGTCAATTACTTTCTTTGTTCATTTCACAATATTTTACCTTTAAAAACATTTTCAAAATGTTCATGAAAATTAGGATGAATCTGGAGGCGTGCTGCTTTAAAATGAAAACAACTTACAGATTTTAAAGATGTAAAAGATGTCAGAAGCTAAGTTTATCACGTTTCTAAAAACACAGATCACTTTGTAATTCTTTAAATATGTCTTGGAAATAAGGGAAAATGTAGAAACTAGTACTTAGACGGTTCTGTGATATTATATTTGAAATAAATATTCTGATAGTTATTTTTTTTTATTTCAGATGCTGAAAAATCAACAAAACATGATAAGAAAATTGCTATATTAGCCGCAAAACTAGCAGGTTTGATTGTTTGAATAGAAAAAATAATAGGGATACAATGTTTTGTTATGACAATATAAATAATCGTTTTGTAACTAATGTGTAAAATAAAAAATAGTAATATTGAGATTTTCAACACAACAAAACTAACATGATAAAAACGTACATAGATCGATTGTGAGAAAAATAAATCGATTCAAGATTCAAGCAATAATTTATATTTTATATGGGGGCGATGACTGATTTTGCAGTATTTATCACTATATTTCTACTGCCTAACTAACGCAGTAAGGCCAATTTTGCATATTTTTACGTGGATAGTAAGTGCCGTTTGCAATGTGCAAATTTATTTCTTTGTCCTTTTCACAATATTTTACTTTTAAAACATAAGGAATATTTTCATAAAATTTATGATGAATATGGACGCGTACTGCTAAATATACTGTCAACATTTTTTGTAGTGTTGTTTTAAAGAGCCAATCCTTAATGTTATAAAAACAATTTATAATTACATTGTATATTATTATAAATTTCAGATGCTGAACAAAAACTAGAAAATCTGAATAACACACTAATAAAATCCCAGAAATTCTCTGATGGTGCCACATATATACGCTGGGGTCGTAACACGTGTCCTGGTAAAGCCCTTCTAGTGTACGACGGCTACGTTGCTGGATCAAGTCACGATCATAGTGGAACTGCATCCAATCCATTATGTCTGCCAAAAGATCCAGATTTTGATGAGCATACCGATGGTTTTCAAGCAACTAGGATATATGGAGCAGAATATGAAACAAGTATCTATCCGAGATGGAAGTATCTTCATAACCATGATATTCCATGTGCTGTTTGTCGAATACCACGTAATAACGTTCTAATGGTGCCGGGAAAGAATCGTTGTCATGACAACTACATATTGGAATATAAAGGCTATCTTATGGCTGGGCACTACAGTCATGCTTCATCCTCTAAATTTGTGTGTGTTGATGGAAATCCAGAAACGTTAGAGGGAACTCGTCAGAATTTGAATGGGAAACTGTTTTATTTTGTTGAAGGCGACTGTGGTTCACTACGATGCGATCCATATAAAAATGGTTGGGAGCTGACATGTGCTGTGTGTTCTTATTCATACAATGGAAGATCGACGAGTTTACAGCCTTACACATAGTTTATACACACACTTATAAATGGACAATATACACACAATGGGCGATAGAAAACAAGAGAACTAGAACTAAAATAAAAACTATTGTTATATCCCCTTGTGCAATTCTTATTATATTTGAGAAGCATTGTCACTGTTGTGTTTTACTTAAATACTTTCTTCAATAATATTCTCATTAATCATATTTCATGTTTCAGTAAATAGGTTAAATAATAAATATTACATTAAAATATAACCTTATAATTTTGATGTAAAATTAGCAAGTGGATTGGCTCTTTTGCGCTTGAATAAGATATAAATCAATAAACATTAAACTGAAATAAATTAATGGTAAAACCATTTGGTGTTGTATTCCTTGGTTGTGTAATTTAGGATACTGTAGATAGAGAAGAATGAATAATTTCTACAAACATTATTTAATACAGTTGTGTAAACAACTGTTTGTAACATGAATATTATTATCCATAGTAATATTTGTAAATTTAAGGAAATCTTTTACACATAATAATTAATACATAGGCAAAAAATTGTGTCAAACATGCAAATACTCTTCTACACGTATTTTACGAGCACCAGTGACAAGTTTCCCTATAAGAGGAAAAATTATTGGAAATGAAACGAATGCTATAATTTCAATGTGTGATACTAACGATAATCATAACTTCATCTGACTTGAGTGTTAATGTAAGATAGGAATGAACTATAAGCATGATATTAATTAATGTTCTTGCCGTTTAATTAACCAACTTTTGGGCAACTGTTAATTTAATGGTAACTTTTGACGGATAACTTTAGGGAACTACAAATTTATAGCAAAATGCTATTTGACAATGATAGTATAAAATGTAATCAATGTTAGCGAGATAACAAAGATAAGTTAACAAGATTCACCGTTTCCCGATTTTTCAATTAATTACTAAATTTGTAAATTAAAGTCTACTGTTTTCCTTTTTATTTCTAAGCAAAGAAAAAAACACACACAATTATTCTGCTTCTAACAACGGCGTTTATTGATTTTCTTGCGTCATATGAAAAGTTTTGATAGTTCAATACATCATTTGATCGCTGTATATCATTTACAATTATACTATTCTATTTCGTGTATGCAAAGTGCGGATCATTGAAATGCCCACCGTACGAAAGGATGGGGGGTAAAAAATAACATGCGCTGTTTGCTCATTTTGAGAAAAGTGTAATCGTTTGATGTGAAAATCTAACACGTTAACCATGATCAATAACTATTATTTTACCAAATTTTACATAATACGAGAAAATTGTTTAAGTATTATTATAAGAATTAAAAGTTAAACGTGAATGCAGATTTAGTATTTTCTATCGTCAAATGTACATCACTTTTATGACCATCGTATGAACAGAACAGAACAGAACAGAACATTTATTTTATTAGATTTGTACCATAAGTACATCATCGTAACATATTTACAAAATTAATACATTTACATGTAATATAATACAGTCACATGATAAACCAGTGTTTATAATTATCAAATCGCAATAACACATACATTACATTTACACATTTACATTTAATAAAATTACAAATACATAATATAATCATGATACTTTAAGCATACAATTTCATCGTTTTTTATTCTAAGAGGATGGACTTAAATATGTGTAGCAGATGCTCTTAAAGTCATAGCACGTTTAATATAAATAGCTAAATTTTTAAGAATTGTTCTTTTATCATTTTTAATAGTTCTAACAAATTTAAAAGCATGCCTTGGTTTTACATAATAATACTTTTTTATATATTTTTTCCTTAAATCAATATAACATGGGCAAATCAAAAAATAAAATGATACTGTCCTCAATGTCGTGCTTATTACAGTATATACAATAACGTTGATTTCTATCGATTCTTTGTGTACTGTATCGACCCGTTTGAATTTTCAAAGAAGTGAGGATAACCTTAATTTTGTTAATAATCATCTTAAATTGCAAGGCAAAATATCCAAGTATTTTTTCGTACTCAAAATTACTTTTGACATGATTATATACTTTCTAAAAAAGCAGGACTGTTTTTCTTTATTTACATGCACCTTGAAACAAAATTATCGATAATCCGTTGTTTAAAACCATAATATAAAAGTATTTTCACAAACAGTTTTCAGGCGAATCCCACACATATGCAAAACCATAATCATATAATAATTTTTTCACATTTGACAGCCAGTTTTTCTTTTCCAATAAACAATCATCATATGCAATTCTATACGCATGCTGTAATATTATATTATCTGTTTTAGTCAGTTTAAACCAATATTATAATGATTTTTACATATCTCATAATATAAAGTGGATATCGTGCAAGTTCACCATATACAGCCGTTTGAACATGTCGTCGTTTTAACCTTTAATAATTTTTTACAAAATTTGAGATGAAATTCTTTCAATTTCCTTAGATTTACTGAATCCCCATATTTCTGATGCATAATTCAAAAATAGAACCAACAAAATGAATCAAATAATTGACAAATAATTTTAGGCTTTAATCTATATTTGTGGACAATTAATAAGTAACAAATTTAAGGCTTTCAATGCTTTACCAACTAAATGCTCTTGATTAGAACAAAACTACCTGTATAATTAAAATTGTACCCAAATAGTTAAAATTATCCAAAATTTCAAGTCTTAAACCATTGGGTAAAAAAATTCTTCATTACTTAATAAACCACCACGCCTCCTAAATACAAGACAACTTTTGTTTTATCGGTATTTACTTCTAGACTCCAAGTTTCACAATAAGTACATAAAAGCTTTAATGATTGATTTACCTCATCTGGCGATTCACCCAGAATAATCATATCATCAGCAAACAACAGCAAAATAAGTATAATGTTATCAATGGTAAGACCAGAGTCTGTATTCTGTTGTAGATATAACTCTAAGTCTTCTACAAGAGGAAAAGAAAGTTACATGCGCCGTTTGTTAATTTTGAAATACATATGATGTCCCATTACTTGATATCACAAGTGTTACTTACCATTTTAATTGAGCTACTAAAACATGCACATCATTTATCACTGCATTATTTATTTATTTTAACTTAATATTCAATTGGAAAATACGTATTGAACTGATCAGTGACGGGATTGTATTGATATGTGTTATAATATAAAGCTCATATAGTATGAACACCCTTTCTTTTTAAACAATATGATATTATATTATTATTATTATAATACAGAATATGCGTAACGTATTGAACTCATGAATATATATTAAAGGAGATATATGAATACGTATAATGTCGAAAATCAATATTAATCATAAAAGTGGATGAGTTTATGTAAAAATTATATTCATTGTTTAACAATCAGTATAGGAATTAACTAACACTCTCGATCGTTATTTGGAAAATTGATGTATAAGAATAAGATAATTTTTTTTTTCGAAATGTAAAAGTAAAAACATTATTTCAACTTTTTATATACGTGTGTTATCGTTCCCATAATACATAGAAGCTGTGTTAATATGTATTTAATACTCGTGTAAAATATATTTATCTTTCTATGTAGAAAATATTGAAATAAACATATTGGAATAAGCAGATATTAAAGTGTCAGTGTTATCAATGTACGAAATATTAATGCACGACAGACCAATGTGAAACTTGCGATTGTGTTGTCTATATTCCTAAGATATTTTATGCTTGTATTTGAAGCATGTAACCATCTGCCAATAAGGTCATAGAAATTCTGTATTATTTAAGAAAATAAATTCTCATGTAGACATGATCAAGATGTTTTACCTGGGAGTTTACTTTTTCAGATATTTATATTTGACATCAGTTTAAGAACAGAACATACACGTATGTGCATACTCATACTTGAACATCTGTTAAATCAATAAAGACATATCGAACTTCCAAAATTAGTTGCTTCTATATTTAAAAGACGTTATAACGTTTAAACATTAAATATTTTTTGCATTGTATTTATATTTTCTATAAATATTGAGTCTTCGCATTTAACATTGATTCACTTTAATGCGGCTACATTGTTTTTGTCACAATATTTTGGTACTTTTAAAGTGACATTATGCTCATATTTTCTTTGCCAAGTTGAGGTGAATTGACTTTATATTTCAAAAGATTGACCATTATAATGCAAATTGACCAACAGTTGATATTTGAAATTTATCATGATAACATATAAATCTGCCTTAAATATAACAAGACTGTCCCACTCTTTTTCATAATTTGAACGTAACACATACATTTCGATGGATATTTAAAAAAAACTTCCTTGGGCTATGTGAGTTATATATAGTTCATGCGTTCTTAATTATAGAATAGAAGGGAATGATAGAAAATTGTCAACTTTGTTTGTCTTTAACATTTTCACTCAATATATACCCTTGGATTGGCATAATGTCACTTTAATATTCTCAATAGAATATTGTTTTTTAAATACTTTTCTTAAAGTAATTCACAGTTCAGATTTCTTTGATACCTCTTAAATATTGCTTCAATTTTTTTTTATTATTTTATACAACAATATTGCCTATATTGTTTGTATTTGTAATTATGATTACATTATATTTAAAAAATTCATATCATCAACATTTACATAATTATGTTGGCATTACGTTTTCATTTTAGCTCTTATTAATTTTTAATTTACAAAAGTTGTGACTGAATCAGATATGCCATTTATATAGTTTAACATGAAGTAGCAAATACATTTTTAATTAATATATAATTATACAGTGTCATACATTTAATTTGTCAATGACTCGATAGCCGTTTTATTTTTTAAGAATACTTGAAACAATTTATGATGCATGTGATATTTAATTTATATATAATTATGAAAAACAAATTCACAAAATGTACATTTGTGTCTTTCTTTTGTTATATTAACATAAGATATAACATGATTTTGCTTTCTCTATTCGGGATTGTTGTAAATAAAAGAAAGAACAGTACTGAATATCTCTTCTATTTATATTTCTACATGCAAATATGCAAATGTTAATATGTAATCATACTATATTCACGTGTATATATACCAATGCCTTCAGGGGGTTATTGCATAATCTAAAAACAATGTTAACGTTTAGACGAAGTGATGATTCAATATATATGATATCATGTATTGTGAAACAACCCTATCAAATTCAGTTCTCGTTTTCATTTTCTGAGTCCAAATGATCATGACAAATTCATATTATACCCATTGTGGTCATTCATGTACGAGTTATCTCTCTTGAATAATGAAAATGTGCGTTTAAATTCGGTTTCATTGAAAATCCAACTCATTTCCAGATTAATTGTCAAACAACTGAATCAGCAAAGTAAATGTTACCTCTAATGTTTTAAAAAATGCTCGTGAAAGTTAAGAACCAAAAGAAAAAAAAATGATGATACAGCATATGAAGAAGCAACTATATTTGGTTATAATATAGCAACAAAAATTTATTTCTATATTCAATATGGAATATTGGAACTTGTAGAATGAGACTCCTGAAAAGTCTTAAAATATGTATGTCATTGACATCTATTATGTACATTCATGTGCATTAAAAAGTAATGTAGACTTATCACTTTTGTTTGCTAAAACTTTGTTTCCGGGGGGACAATAAACATAAACATAACCAAAAAAAAAAAAAAAAAAAACAAGATAATTATGATATTTCATTTTTAAAGAACTTTTTTATTTACAATTAAAAAGAAAAAAAAACAAAATACACTTATTGATGATAACACCACATAAAAAGTATGTGTTGCCCCAATAATGAGACTTGTAAGCTAATATTTTCTTGTATACACCATTTTTTTCAAAATAAAAATTATGAGACGCCTGTAAAAAACCCTATAAAAATATTTGCAAAGATTCGGGGAAAGCAATTAATTTTAAATCAGAATTATAACTAAAAGTTCTGTTATGAGTAATATAATTGTTATGATATTATATTAATTTAAATTTATTCTGCAATATAAAGTTATACACACGAAATAAGAAAGGTAACTTAAAATGCTTCATATCATACCATAGAAGCTTTACACTATCACGATGTCTTAGAACTATTTACTTTAGTTGTCAAACCTCTTAAAACCTGACAGAAATATTAATAACTTTCATTGAATGATTCTGGCAAATACGAAAGCCGAGATGCTCATTGGTTTCAATTGCGTTAATTGTAAAAAGAAATAGAAAATATAACCACATAAAAGTTCTTTTTTGAGTGTGTGATCTTTTAAGTGTGTTTGTTAAGAAAACAAAACAGACAAGATAATTATAAGAATTAAAAAGAAAGAAGAATTTTAAACAAACACGTAAAATAGTATATTGTAACATTAACATGATCAGTGTGCAAGGGTGAAACACAAATTATTAGGCAT